CTGCCTTGTCCGCGTTCACCTTCTGGTGCCGCTTCTGGTGTTGAGAGAGGTGGGATAAGGTTGGGAGGAAAACAGAGGGGTGGAAGGACAGGCACATGAGACAAGACTCTGTCAGCTTCACATCAAGCGCTGCCTTGTCCGCGTTCACCTTCTGGTGCTGCTTCTGGTGTTGAGAGAGGTGGGATAAGGTTGGGAGGAAAACAGAGGGGTGGAAGGACAGGCACATGAGACAAGACTCTGTCAGCTTCACATCAAGCGCTGCCTTGTCCGCGTTCACCTTCTGGTGCCGCTTCTGAAAGGGCCGAGGAATAAAAGAAGGGAGAGGGAAGGGTGTGGAGAATGAGAGCATGGAGGGGTGAAAGGGGCATGCCTCTGTCAGCTTCACATCAAGTCAAGCACTGCCTTCACCTTCTCGTGGCGCTTCTGAACAGGGTAAGAACAAAGGGGCAGAGGGAAAGAGTGTAAGGGGGGAATGAATGGACGGAAAGATGGGCGCACAAGACAAGACTCTGTCAGCTTCACATCCAGCCCAGCGCTGCCTTGTCTGCATTCACCTTCTCGAGCCGCTTCTGATGATGTGACGGGGTGGGATCATGTGAACGAGAGAGGCAAAGACGGGCACACAAGACAAGACTCTGTCAGCATCACATCCAGCCCAGCGCTGCCTTGTCTGCATTCACCTTCACTCTAAAGTCGTTTTGAGGCGCCTCAAAAGTCGACTCAGGCCGCTTCACATCCAGCCCAGCGCTGCCTTGTCTGCATTCACCTTCACTCCAAAGTCGTTTTGAGGCGCCTCAAAAGTCGACTCAGACCGCTTCACATCCAGCCCAGCGCTGCCTTGTCTGCATTCACCTTCACTCTAAAGTCGTTTTGAGACGCCTCAAAAGTCGACTCAGACCGCTTCACATCCAGCCCAGCGCTGCCTTGTCCGCATTCACCTTCACTCTAAAGTCGTTTTGAGGCGCCTCAAAAGTCGACTCGGACCGCTTCACATCCAGCCCAGCGCTGCCTTGTCTGCATTCACCTTCACTCTAAAGTCGTTTTGAGGCGCCTCAAAAGTCGACTCAGACCGCTTCACATCCAGCCCAGCGCTGCCTTGTCCGCATTCACCTTCACTCTAAAGTCGTTTTGAGGCGCCTCAAAAGTCGACTCGGACCGCTTCACGTCCAGCCCAGCGCTGCCTTGTCTGCATTCATCTTCACTCCTCTAAACACAGGCACAGACACACACAGACACGCACCTCCTTCACATCAAGCGCTGCCTTGTCCGCATTCACCTTCACTCCTCTAAACACAGGCCGAACCGAACCACCCACCCTAACCTGCAAGGCCTCATATTCCGCTTTCAGTTGTTTCAGCTCCCCCTGCTTCTCCACCAGTCGAATCTGCAGCTCCATCACATCGTTCGCCTCTGTGCCCCTCCCATTCAGCCTCATACCGACCTGCACCCCACCTGCAATGCAAGGACTCATATTCCACCTTGAGTCGTTTCAGCTCCCCCTGCTTCTCCACCAGTCGAATCTGCAGCTCCATCACATCGTTCGCCTCTGTGCCCCACCCATTCAGCCTCATACCGACCTGCACCCCACCTGCAATGCAAGGACTCATATTCCACCTTGAGTCGTTTCAGCTCCCCCTGCTTCTCCACCAGTCGAATCTGCAGCTCCATCACATCGTTCGCCTCTGTGCCCCTCCCATTCAGCCTCATACCGACCTGCACCCCACCTGCAATGCAAGGACTCATATTCCGCCTTGAGTCGTTTCAGCTCCCCCTGCTTCTCCACCAGTCGGCTCTGCAGCACCATCACATCGCCCGCCTCTGTATCCCTCCCTTCCCTCCCACCCTCCCCTGTTACCTTACGTGCGCTGCCCCATAAACCCACCTGCAAGGCTTCGTATTCCGCTTTCAGCTGTTTCAGCTCCCCCTGCTTCTCCAACAGTCGGCTCTGCAGCTCCATCACATCACCCCTGCCCCTGTGCCCCTCCTCTGTGGCACAGAACCCACCTGCAGAGCCTCGTATTCCGCCTTCAACCGTTTCAACTCAGCCTGCTTCTCCACCAGTCGGCTCTGCAGCTCCATAACATCGTCCGCCTCTGTGCTCCTCCCCCCTGCGCCTCCCCTTCCGCCCCCTCCCCTTCCCCTTCCCCCCCCTCCCCCCGGCTGCCCCTCGCTGCCCGCATCGCCCAGCTTGCTTGCTTCAACCCCTGCCAATGCGAGGGTAGTGAAAGCCAGCCATAGAAGAAAGGAGGAGGTTAGGAGGGGAGGAGGAATGGTGATTCATTCAGCAAATTGTGCAAGTTGTGAATTCTCCCTCAGTCGACCCCCACTTCCCCCTCCCCCTTGCTGCCCCTCGCTGCTCTGATCCCCCAGCTTGCTTGTTTCAACACCTGCCAAGAGCCAAGCCGAGCAAGGGAGGGAAGGAGGGGCGGATGAGGGTTAGTGGGGCAGGAATTATAGGTGATACATCAGTCGAACCCCCTCCTCCTTGCTGCCCCTCGCTGCCCTGATCCCCCAGCTTGCTTGCTTCAACGGCCAAGGCGAGCAAGGGAGGGAAGGAGTGCGGATGAGGGTTAGTGGACATCAGAGAGGGAGGAATTATAGGTGATACATCAGTAGTCGACCCTCTCCTCCCCCGCCCCCCCTCCTCTTGCTGCCCCTCGCTGTCCGCATCGCCCAGTTTGCTTGCTTCAACCCCTGGCAAGGCGAGCAAGGAAGGGGAAGCGTGGAGGAGCAAAGGTGATGCACCACGGATTGCATACTGGATTGCATCTGAAATTCGTTGGGTTCGAAACACAGCAAGCCTGCTAAGAGTAACGATCTATAGCACTAGTCTACTAATCTGAAAGGCGAGGGAATTAGTGAGAAAAGGTCTACTAATCAGAAAGCCAGACACATTAGGCCTAGATGTCGCGTGTGAACGCGTTCTGGCCAGCAAAGGCCTTCATCAGCACATGATGAAGGCCTTAGTTGGCCAAAACGCGTTCGCACGCGAACATCCGGGCCTATTGTGTATGGCTTTCTGACTAAAATACTTTTTTTCTTACGACTTCCCTCATTTTTTCAGATTAGTACCGGTAGACTTAGTTCTATAGATCGTTGTTAATCTCTTAGAAGGCTTGCAGCGGATCAAACCCAGCTGATTTCAACAGCAAAGGTGATGCACCATGGATTGCATAACGGATTGCATCACTACCTCACAGCATTCCTGAAAACCACTCGCGAAGCTCCTTCAACTGTTTTTGAGACGTCTCAAAACTCGTGAAGCACCTTCAACTGCTCCTCACACTGGGAACACGCCCCGCCCCCCTCCCCTCCCCTCCAACCCCTCTCCCCCTCCCTCCACTAACCCCTCAATCAGTGATATCTAACCACACTACGAACTCGCAACCGCATGCACGCCTGGTCACTGCACTGCAAACCTGCGAACCACTCGGGAAGCTGCTTCAACTGCTCCTCACACTGGGAACACGCCCCGCCCCCCTCCCCTCCCCCCCAACCCCTTCCCCCCACCCCACTAACCCCCTCAATCAGTGATATCTAGCAACACTACGCACTCGCAACCGCATGCACACCTCGTTACCGCACTGCACACCTGCGAACCATTCTTGGAGCTCCTTCAGCTGCTCCCTACACTGGGCACACGTCCCCCGCACACCCCCCTCTGCACTCTTGAGTGTCCTGCCACAGCACAAGGGGGTGTGATGGTGGGAGAGGAGCAAGAGAACGTATGCTCTTTTTCATGATGCAAGGGAGGAGATACTCTTTCCCTTGACTCACACGTCCCCCGTGCCTCCCACCCTCTGCACTCTTGATTGGGAGATCTGCGGAGCACAAGGGGGTGAGATGGGAGAGGAGCAACGGGGCCAGCTGAGAATACTCCTGCAGGCGACTCACACGTCCCACATGCCCCCCCCCCCCCCCCACCCCTCTGCACTCTTGAGGGATCTGCGGAGCACAAGGGGGTGGGATGGGAGAGGAAGGTGGGATGGGAGAGGAGCAACGGGCTCAGACGAGGATACTCCTGCGGGCGACTCACACGTCCCCCGCGCCGCGCCGTCTGCACTCTCTTGAGAGATCTGCGGCGGAGCACAAAGCGGTGTGATGGGAATGAAATGAGAAGCAATTGGGTACTCTCAGTAGTAACCCCTCCTTCGTTTCAGTTCAGTAGGGGAAAATACTCTACCCCAAAACCCGTCTGCACTCTTGAGAGATCCGCGGAGCACAAAGGGGTGTGATGGGAGCGGAAGTTGTGATGCGAGCGGAAAGGAGAATGGAACTCTCATTCAGTTGATAACTCCCACTCTCCCCCTCTCCCTCTGCAGTAACGAGCCACTGCTGCCGTTGGCCTGGCACTCCGTCTCCGGTCGAACCCCACGGCAGAAGCGGAAACTCACTATAACGAAGCATTTGGGTTTCGGAAGTCTATACCGTGGACAATAATGAATCCCGTTACCGTTTAGCGCTAGATTCCTGCTGTAACGAGGCGCTGCTGCCGCTACCTCTCCGTCTCTGATCCAACCCCAACGCAGACGCGGAAACGGACAGTCCAGAAGCTGCTGCTGACGCTACTGCATGACCTTCAATCGGTCCGAACGAATGCGCTGCGGCTGCTGCTGCTTCTGCTGTTGACAATGACAGAATCGCGAAAAGTACCTGAGCTATACTACCGAAGATGAATAATAACGAGGTCCGGGTGCTAAATGGAGGCATTGTGGATTGAGACAGCGGTATCAGCGGCATTCTGAGTTTCAAGGCGAGGTAGGTAAGGACGTCATAGGTCCATCCCGCTTGGTTTGTTTCTGTGTACCTACGTCCCGTTATTGCAATTGCCAGGGGTCGGCGCAGCAAACTTACCGTAATCTGGAGCAAGCAATATATAACCTCAAATTTCTTGTCTGCTCCCTTCAACTTTGTCATATATCCAACTTATTCCTACTCGCATTCTTGAGATGTAACGCACAGCGCAACATTGATAATTCGTCCAAGAGCAGGAAAACACCTCACGTTACAGATATAACACGTTCAAGTGTAGAGGGCGTGAAGCCTGGAGCAAACCATGTCAAATTATATGTAAGCTATATATGTTTAGGCTGTAGTGGGGTAGCCAATATGGGGTACAGCCCCTTTTAGGGTTTCATACTTGTACCCAACACTTTCCTAGTTGATTCATCCCTGCCTAGTATTTCAAACATGGTATTAAGAGCAGTAGGTCCGTAGGACCGTCTCGTTTCGGGCCCACCTACCGTTGCGGTTACCACGCTGCCCCACCTGCCTTGCCTGCACTGCGCCTCACGCGCGCGCCCTGCCTTGCCTGCGCTGCGCTGCCCACGCGCGCTGCCTTTTTTTTTTCCCGCGCGCCGCCTTAGGAGCCCGCGTGCGGCCCGCTGCTGCCCCGCGCGCCGCCTTAGGAGCCCGCGCGCGGCCCGCTGCTGCCCCGCGCGCCGCCTTAGGAGCCCGCGCGCGGCCCGCTGCTGCCCCGCGCGCCGCCTTAGGAGCCCGCGCGCGGCCCGCTGCTGCCCAGCGCGCCGCCTTAGGAGCCTGCGCGCGGCCTGCTGCTGCCCCGTGCGCCGCCCTAGCCACTTGCGCGCCGCCCCAGCAGCTCGTGCGCCGTCACTGCAGCCTTGCACGCGGTTTCTCCTGGCCTGCCCTCTGCTTTGCCGCCTGCGCGCTACTCTTGCCTGCACCGCAATAATGGCGACGCTTAACGTTCTTGCTTTCGATCCTGACGGTCGCCCGATAGAGTTTACCACCTGGCTCGACGACCTGCAACTGTTTCTTCTGACTGATGCCAAGGACAGTGTTTCACTGTTCGATTATGCGTCTGGCACTGCCGTTGCTCCTGCTGACACTGCTCCTGCTCTTGACCGCTCACAGTGGCAGACCCGCGATGCTCCTGCGCGCCTCGCTATTCGCAACCATCTGCCGATCACAGAGCGCGCGCATTTTAGCCAGCACAAGACTGCTAAGGCACTTTATGACGCTGTAGTTGCACGCTACTCTTCCTCGGCCACTGCAGCCATAGGTCGCCTTATGCTACCCTACCTGTTCCCCGACCTGTCCTCGTTTACCACTGCTGAGAACCTCATCTCTCACCTGCGCACTAGCGACGCTCGCTTTCGTACTGCCCTCTCAGACAAGTTCCTCGCCCAGAATCAACCACTGATGTACTTTACTCTCTACTTCCTCGTCACCCGCCTCTCTCACACTCTTCACTCCGTCAGGGACCACTTTCTCGCGCTAGACCCTCCCACTCTCACTGTCGACGACTTCGAGAAGCACCTCCTAGCAGCCGAAAAGAACATTCTCGCTGTAGTTGCTGCTCGTGGCACTCCTCGCACTCCCCTCTTTGAGGGGTGCTCCCCCTCCCCTCTTGCCCCCTCCTACACCTCCGCTGCTGCTGCTGCTCTCGACTACCTTGGTGCTGAGGAGGTCGGGGCTGCTTCCGCTCCTAGTGGGAAGTGACGCAGCGCCAGGGGCGGCAAGGGTGGCAGGGGAGGTGGGGGTGGCGGTGGAGGAGGCGGTGGTGGAGGCGGCGGGGGAGGTGGAGGTGGTGGGGGTGGTCGAGGGGGCGGAGGTGGTGGTGGGGGCGGCAGTGGCACTGGGAGCGGTGGAGGTGGCAGCGGCGGTAGTGGGGGTGGAGGGAGCGGTGGTGGCAGCGGTGGTGGGGGCTGGAGTGGATCCGGCCAGAAGGGGAGCTAAGGTGGTGGCCAGGGACAGCAGCAGCAGCAGCAGAGCCAGCGTGAGACCCCCACGACTCAGCAGCTTCGTGATTGGTATGCTCAGTGTGGGGCGTCTGGGGGTCCTGTTCGCTGCCCCTATGTCATTCGCACGGGTCCCCGCACTGGTCGCCCATGCAAAGGTTCTCACACTGAGTACCGCTGCTTCTCTCGGCTCAGCAACGCCTGGCGCACCAAGTTTCCGGAGGCTACTGAGTAACCCCACTTGGCAGACCTGTCTAGGCGTGGTGTTCCTATCTTTGATCTTGACTATGATGCAATTCTTGCTGCCATGTATGCATTGACTGTTAGTGCTGAGGGTGACTGCTACTTGTGTATGCCGCCTGACCCAGGTATAGAGTCGGCAGCTCTAGGTGCTAGCGAGTCTGCTCTCCCTGGTACTGCGTCCGCTCAGGCTTTGCACACCTTCACACTTGACTCTGGTGCTTCCCGCTGTTTCTTTCGCGATAGCACCATAGTCACTCCCCTCCCTGCACCTGTCCCTGTCTCACTGGCTGACCCCTCTGGGGGCCCAGTGCTAGCACAGACCAGTACTGTGCTTCCGTGTACGGCGGTCCTGTCTGGTGAGCTGTCTGGTCTCCACCTCCCCTCGTTCTCTACGAACCTGGTGAGCACCGGCGTCCTTCAGGATCACTGGGTTGGCACCTTTACTCCTGGAGGACAGCGTGTGGCGATCTGCACGTGCTCTCGGACCGGCCGCCACCTGGCCACGTTCACACGTGCGCCTGGGTCCAGTCTGTACACCCTCACCACTGCGTCGCGCTCCACCCCTTTGTCTCCTTAGCTGTACGCGTCCGCTCAGGTAGCTACCCGGTGTGAGTGTCGCAGCCTGTCGCACCAGACTCTCCTGTGGCACCACCGCCTTGGTCATTCCTCCCTGCCTCGCCTTCGTGGCATGCACTCTCGCCGCCTGGTCTATGGTCTTCCTAGGTCTCTGCCCTCCCTCCCTCCCTCGCCTGCGCCGCCCTGCATTCCTTGCGTTGAGGGGCGGCAGCGCGCCGCTCCTCACTCCTCCTCGTTCCCTCCCACAGAGGCTCCCCTGCAGACTCTCCACCTGGACGTGTGGGGCCCAACCTGCGTCCATGGACAGGGGCACGAGCGGTACTTCCTGCTGGTAGTCGACGACTACACGCGTTACACCACGGTCTTCCCCTTGCAGCGCAAGGGGGATGTCCCTGATGTTTTGATCCCTTGGATCCGCGCTGTGCGTCTCCAGCTCCGCGAGCGGTTCCACTCGGACTTTCCTGTCCTGCGTCCGTAGTCCGACAGAGGTGGTGAGTTCACCTCCAAACTCTTGCGAGCCTACTGTGAGGAGCACGACATCTGCCAGACGTTCACGCTTCCGGCCTCTCCGCAGCAGAATGGGGTTGCTGAGCGCCGCATTGGCTTAGTCATGGAGGTCGCTCGTACCTCCATGATCCATGCGGCTGCCCCCCATTTTCTATGGCCGTTTGCGGTCCGGTACGCCGCGCATCAGCTCAAACTCTGGCCCCGTGTCTCCGTGCCGGAGACTTCGCCCACACTACGTTGGACAGGGGAGGTTGGCGATGCGTCGCGTTTCCGGGTCTGGGGTGCTCGTGCTTTTGTCCGCGATACCACTGCGGACAAGCTCTCCCCTCGTGCTATTCCCTGCGTCTTCCTTGGCTTTGTCCCTGACGTGCCTGGCTGGCAGTTTTACAACCCCGCCTCGCGCCATGTCTTTGCGTCTCAGGACGTCACCTTTGACGAGTCGGTCCCCTTTTACCATCTCTTTCCCTACCGCACTGCCTCTCTCCCCCCCCCCGTCGCTCTTTCTCGCTCCAGGTCCTCCCCAGGTAGACCCCATCCCCGCTCCAGGTCCTGCTCCTTTAGGTGTGTCTCAGATAGACCCTCCTCCCTTGACTGAGCCGGTCGAGGTCACTGGTGACTCAGGTCCTGCTGGGGGTGGTCCTGCTCGGGGTGCTGCTTCTGGGGGTGCTGAGCCTGGGGGTGTGGAGCCTAGGGGTGCTGAGCCTGGGGGTGCGGAGCCTGGGGGTGCTGAGCCTGGGGGTGTGGAGCCTGGAGGTGCTGAGCCTGAGCGTGAGGAGCCTGGGGGTGCTGAGCCTGGAGGTGCGGAGTCTGGGGGTGCTGCGCCTGGGGATACTGAGTCTGGGGGTACTGTGCCTGGGGGCACTGAGGCGCCTGGTGTGCAGTCTCCTTGGAGCGGCCGCCTCCGTAGTCGCTCCGCTGGTGCCGCGCCGCAACTCTCTAGTCGGCGTCTTCCTCTCTCCCCACAGCAGCTGCGTGAGTGGTACGTGAGCCGTCAGGGTCGTGCTGCTGGAGCTGGGGGCCCTGCTGTGGCTGGCGCTAGCGTTGGAGACGCTGGAGCTGGTGACTTAGCTACTGGAGGCGCTTCTACTGGAGTTTTTTGAGCGGCTGGTCCCAGAGGTGCTCGTACTGGAGGTACTGGAGCTGCTGGGGCTGGTGGTTCTGCTGAGTCTGGGGGTGCTGCTGCTGGTGGCGCTGGTACTGGAGGTACTGGCGCTGGAGGTTCTGGAGCTACTGGAGGTCCTGGAGCTGTTGGAGGTGCTGGCACTGGAGGTGCTGGCGCTGGAGGTTCTGGAGCTACTGGAGGCATTGGAGCTGTTGGAGGTGCTGGCGCTGGAGGTGCTGGCGCTGGAGGTTCTGGAGCTACTGGAGGTCCTGGAGCTG